GGGTTGATGTCGGAGGTGTCGTGACTTGCTGTAACACACAGGCACTTAAAAGAATGACGATCCAATCTTTTCAACCCTTAGTGCCTTACCTGAGTGTGCTTGCAAACACAAACGTTCACTGCCAAAGCAGAGAGCTTCCTTGTAAGGCGAGCGGCTGTTTAGTAGAAAGCACACGCAGGATTTGCTGAAAATCTTTTATATGGAAAAACCAACAAAAGATTATACTGTACATACATATTGTTCTGCACTTTTGTATGAAATTTCTTTTTACATTATAAACAAAATCTATTTGAAATAGCTACGTTATACAGTAGATTGTACTGTGATTTAGACAGGAGAATGAATGGTTGCCTCTTTTAAGAGAAGGTAGGCAGGATGAACAGACTGGGAGGCTTTCGAATGGGACGCAGTTTGTTTGGTCTGAATGACAAAGCCTTGAAACATGAAATGTATCAAGTCATTGAACTTTTGTACATTTAACTTAATAAATTGAAGGTCTTAAGACAATGTTTCAGAATGCTTTTTTATAATTTGCAAATTGAATTAAAAGTCGACTTTTTTGACACATTTTTTTCCATTAATGTATGTATTTATAGTTGTGATCTCATGATTGATAGATGGATGGTTGAATGCTGAAATTGATATGTTCTTTTGGACTCTACCAACAACTTTCTTATTGGGCTTATGATTTGGCAGCTGTACCTCCATGGTGGGAATCTCCTGTTTCACCACATCCCAAAGGTGCTCTATTGGATTGTGATGTGATGATTGTGGAGGCCATTTGGGTACAGTGAACTCATCGTCATGTTAGCGAAACCGCCTGAGATGATCTAAGGTTTCTGACATGGTGTGTTATCTTGTTGGAAGCAGCCATCAGAAGATGAGTACACTGTGGTCATAAAGGCATGGACATGGTCAGCAGTAATACTCTGTGGTATCTAAACAATTCTTAAAAAGGCCAAAAGTGTATAAAAAGAAAAAAAAAATCCCCCACACCATTACACCACGACTGCCCTTAACTGCTGGGCAGGTTCGATCCATGCTTTCATGCTGTTTACACCAAACTGTGACCCTGTCATCAAAATATCAACAGAAATTGAGGCACATAAGACCAAGAAACATTTTTCTAATCTGTTCAGTTTCAGTGAGCTTGTGTGAACTGCAGGTTCAATTTGCTGTTCTTTTTTGACAAGAGTAGCACTCAGCATGGTCTTCCATAACTGTAAACAGTAGAGATGGTTGTGTGGAAAAATCCCAGTAGATTAGCAGTTTCTGAAATACTCAGACCAGCTTGTCGGGCACCAACAACCATGCCACGTTCAAATAATTTAAACAGCCTTTTTTCCCCATTCTGATGCTCAGTTTGAACTCCTGCAGGTATTCTTGACCATCCTTAAATGAATAACAGCCACATAGCTGATTATATGTTTCCATTCCAAGCAGCTGGACAGGAATAAAGTGGCCACGAGTGTGCATTTTATTTCACCCACTTGCTTAATTCTTTTCTATTTAGATCACGGGTTCTCAAATTTTTCTGAATCACTTACAGAGAAGAAAATTCTCCACGGATCCCTTCATAATCGTAACGTTAAGGGTATTACGCTTATTACTATTTGTGCTGTTTACATATGTATTCTTACTGGGAACATGTGATGTGACCTATCAAAATCAAAAGTTTATTTTGGCACCAAGATAAAGTGGATGGGAGTAAAGGACACAGCATGATTGTTTTTGTCATAGATGATCCCCAGCTGTTGATATGTACTTTTATATATTACAGAACAGCTTTATAAATTATTTTGTGGACCTAATGGCTATGGGTGTAGACACCTGGGGGTTTTGTGACGTCATTTGCAAGAGGCTCGGTTAAATGACTGAACCTTTTGTAATTGTGCCTTACGTTTATATTATTTTGTTGTTTTTATATGTCAGTCTAACTGAATAATACTTAATAGTTATAACAGACACATCCCTATTACATGGTAACTCTGTTTTTTAAGAAAAAATTGTATGCAATTTAAAATTGTATGCATATATATACACACACA